CACTTCAGTTTATTAAACAGACCTGCTCAAGTAAAGCCTGGCTGATAATGTTAATACTGGGTGTGGCTGCTCTCTCCAGCAAGGGGAAACATATTCATATGAGTGCAAAAGGAGAGCAACATGGGTAGGAAGAGGCAATTATCTTTAAATAAACCACTGCTGGAGCAAGAAGACATGCTTTTGGGCACACTAGCTCTTCTTGAATGATTCAAGCTAATTACACCAGACTGAAGAGATTCAGTCAACAGAAATTTAAAAAAAAACAACAAACAAAACACACCACAAACAACAAAACAACAATAAGAAGCACATATTTGACGTGAGTAAAATATTCTCTGTGGCCCAACTCAGAGACTGTGCCTGTGGGCAGAACCCTCTGCTGGGCCCTGCTCCCCCAGGGAAAAATCTCTGCTTCCTGCCCAGAAAGGGGAAGTTGTTCACATACCCTTCAGAAGGCACCGGGCTGCACATGTGAATGAGACAGGCCTGCAGCACCACAGACAACAGAACCCAGCCAGCACAGACTCCTGCTTTTCTCTGTGTTCCCAGGAAGCCCACAAAGCAAGCTGCTCTCTGAGGTGTGAGCAGTGCCGAGGGAGAGGCTGAACTGTACCTGATGTGACTGCAGGCCAATGATGGAGGAATAGGCCTGGATGGTGACAAAGATCTCTGGCTGGTAGATGATGTCTGAGCCAGGGATTCGAAATGGCCTTAACAATCCCACCAGGCATCGGGAAAGGGCATGAAACACTTCATCAAAAATGATCTCCCCTGTTGAGTCATCCTATAGAAACAGAAAAAGGGAAGAGCTTTTACATTTTCTGTGACTTTCAGTCTCATTGCTGGTTGCCCCTCCACACAGAGTCAACAGCAAACATCCTCCTGCAATGACAGCTGCATTAAAACGACAGTTCCCTGTAACCAACCCAAAGTGACACACTGAGCATTTGGCAGAGAAACAAGATCTGCCATTAAGCTGCTGAGCTAGGAGCACTGCCTGCTTTGCTCCTGGGAAAGGCAAGACCTCTGCAAAAGTTAAGGCTAACACAAGAGAGGAATAAGCTTTCTCAGCAAACAGAAACAGGCCCAGCCTTTTAACACAGAACACCCTAAAGAGGCAGCTTCTGCACTTACCACAATCCCTGTGGAAGGGCTCAGATCAAGTTCAATCACAAACCGGTACTGGCGGGCCAGGAAGGTGACCCGTGTGGAGGGCACAAGGAGATAGGGCCGGGGCTGGATGGGCTCGTCTGGCTGCCACCCGTGAGGCAGGATGCTGAGAACATCCAGCTCGTTTTCTGACTTTACCTGCAAGAACCAGAAATGGTAGCGAGAGACAGACAAGCTGAGCAGAGCCAAGGAGGGAATCGCAGAAAGGAACTGGGTTGAAACCTTCAGCAGGGCCCAGCTGCTCAGGAGCAGCCCTGAGCCAGCAGGGTGACACTGCCC